CTTTACAGAGATCTGCAGCTGCCACTAGTGTTAATGGCTATATCCTTATACCTCTGTTCCTCATTTGAGGCACAAAGTAATGTGGCCAGGGTAAAGACTCTTGTCAGCTCTCTTAGTAAATATACGATGTATCTACATGCATAAAGTAACAAGCAATTTATCACTTTTAGTCACACTGTGCACTAAGTAAAAGACTCAGACTTCAATATCAGTTAGTCATGGTTTGACTGCACATTACATCTACATTTTATGACTTGGGTCTGATGGTATCCCTTCAAAAACACAGCTCTCTATTGAAGATTTTACACCGTGTCATTAGTCTTAACAATTTCTTCACTTAAATGTTTTCCTTTAATGACAGTTATCCAGAAGCATTCTTCTTAAAGTGTGAAAGAATGTTTCTACAACTTTTTTTTATGTTTCCTTACTTCAAATAGGACAAATACAGCAATCATGTATCTGGAGAACGACTGTTTGATTATGTTATAATTTATATTGTTGCCACACGGAGACTGACAGCTGAACCTAATCAGCCTTTCTACCTCTGTGTTCACATCACAGTAAAATTAAAACCTTCAAAGACCCTCAAAATTGACACCAATGGTTCCTGAGCAGGCTTTTGAAATAACCAATCCCAGACTTTGTGAATAATCAATTCTTGATGTCTGTTTGTATCTTAAACAAAAGACTCAGCAATTTATTAACAATAACATACCTTTACCAGAGCAAAACTAAACAACAAAGTAATCTAATTGTCAGTGCTATAAACACAAAAACTTTATTTTCGTCCCCATTCACATAAAAGACCAACAAACAAACACAGCTCAAGGATAAATCAAAGAAAATAACGAAACCAGCCAGATTACTTAAGTGGTTTTCACAATGGGTTGTTCCAATGGCATAGTTGATGGTTCTCCTGATTGTTATCTGAAGATGTCTATCAGCGTCACCTTTACAATTCCCTCAGATAAAGGCAATAATACTTATCATGTAGTTTCCTATTCTCTGAGCTTCCAAGAGCTGCTAATGAGACGACAGGCAGGGAACTTTCAAATCTTAATCCGTAGCATCAACAGCCAGATTCCTTCTCATAGAAAACACATCCAAAACCCAATTCATATTCTTTGTGCTCCCTGACAGATTGAACTGCTCCTTCACAAGGTCCCAATTACCATTCAACATCTACCATCTGCTTAAGCATAACGTCTTTTTCCAGACTTGCTGGAACCAGTTCCCAGGAATTGTCCTCATTAATAGCCAACTGCTGCTATCTGTTTAAACATAATGTTCTTCCCTGGTAATGAAGCATCTGCAGAGCCTCTTGATTAGGATCCAATCTACAATTAACCTCCAGGCTTGGCCTCATGAATAATCAAAAGATTTTTTTGGTCTGTTTTCCTTTTAATGCAAGCTTTTTCCCTCAGTCCAAAAGTTATCTTTAGCTCACAGATCTTAGTTTACAGCACCAATCAAAATTAATAAAAAGGAATAAAATTAAAATAGTGAAATATCAGCGAGGACTCTAACAAGATACGGTCACCATTTTCTTGCAAGAATGGTACCACTGAACATAATGAACTTGTCAGAAAATAAGATAATTCCTATAAAATGAGACCACCAGGAATTGCTATTAGTGTAGAGAGAACCCCATATGTTATCTTGTCGGTCTGTGTTTTATATGATACTGTTTTTAGGTTCCTTTTCTGTTTGCTTCAATTCCTAGTTCAACATTTCAAGACAAAATAACTCAAAATTCCATCTCAAAAACACCTGAAATGGTTCCAACAAACACAATCCACTCCATCAGCACAATTTATTTGCTCTGACTCCTCTGAACTAATAATTGCTACATAGACATAGAATGCATCAAGTTGAACAAGGGTAGTTGCTATTTCAATCTGCAAGACAGGCTATATCCAGTAACCTTTAAAGGAACTGTTCCTGAGATTTAGGCAGTGATGGCCAGAGACAAATCATTATTTTTCCAGTGATTTATTACCTGTGTTTCATGATTTCATACCTTTCTCTTATTTTGAGTTGGCAGTTGGAACATACGCACCAAAATTAGTAACCTGAAGTGCAAAAATGGATTGGCTAAGAACAGAGAGAGAGAAAAAATGGCACACAGATGCAATTCAAATTGTTTCTTTCTGGAGAACTGGGATAGAGCTGTAATGTAATTTACGCATTGAGGTCCTGTGACTTTGTAAAATAGATCCACAATGAGCAGCAATCGTAGTAAGCTCCTCTATAGAGCTTACTGTATCTGTCATGGAAGATGAAACTTTACATATTTTAAATGTCTCATAACTATCAGGTCTCCTGCTATTGTCACTTTTCATTGATGATGATGGATGGGTATTTACATAATCTCAATGATCAGAATGACAGAAGGTGAGAAGAAATTAATATCGAGTATACAACAATCTTATATAAGGCTAACATTAAACTTGTTACAAATATATACATATATATGCCTTTAATTGGCTTAGTGATCTGCTATATGGAGATCTTAATAAATGGTTAACATTTAAACCATCTTCTACCTTTTTACCCAATTCCCTGTTAAATCCTAAATCAGTATGTTCCCAATTAATCAAATTAGATATTTTCTCCAGTTAATTTTACAGTGACTTAGCCCTAAAATAGTCTGTCCAATGCTTTGTCCCATGTGCTATTTTTTAATGACTCCCTGCACCTGCTTAAAGAGAAAGCATTTATTAACTTTTAGAAGTAACCATGCCAACATGTGTAATTTATATGCTGACCACTGTTAATGTCCTCTTACCCAATATTAAAGTAGGATCATTAGACTATAATTATATGAACAAGTTGGAGATGTTGGAGATTAACATAAATTAACAATGGGAGAATAAGACGCATCTGACTGAGGTCTCACTTCCTGTAATTTATGGTTTAAGGGGAATCCAAACAGAAAAGGCAACTCTATACCTACATGACCTGTCTGTGATTGATATCAATCCATAAAATATAATTGTGTGTAAACATGTTTAAGATCTGCTGACAGAATGAAGTGCTTGTTAATTGATTTCACCATAACAAAATAAAACTTTCTAACCTGAACTCCATATGGGAGATAGGTTCAATAGGCCATATTCGGAACCGGCTAAACAATGTGAATAAATCAGAATACATCAAAAATATGCTAAATGATTCAAATTGAATACGGGTGGTAAAATACAAAGACCACACAAGAGCCAAGGAAATAGGCATTCATTTTCCCAGCAGCAGGGAAGGTTAGGATGTTAGATGGAAACTACCTCAGGGTTATTGCCTCCAGCCATACTCCTATGCCTAACTGCTGGCCCCTAAACCCCATCCCTTACCAACATCAACATAAGAATGTCCCTTCTTCTTCACTAGCATTTAACACTATCATTCTTACCAATGGAAATGCACTGACGTATGACTTGTAACAGCCAATTATACACACAATGGGAGATTCTCCATCCTGGAATTTTGCCTGTGAGTTGGTTGCAAGATAATTCTGAGCTCTGCAAACACAACTTTTTAAAAATAGCTGCCCTGACATCAGATTTTGAGACCAGTATGGTGGCATGATCCATTAGAATTTAGGCCAGGTGATTCCAGAAATAATGAGGTGAATGTTAAGTGAGGAGGCAGGCTGGCAGAAGGTTTCTTTCAGGGCTCTGGCACTGTGTCCAATATGAAAAAGGAAAGAATAACACATTGAATATCCCTACCCCATCACCAGATTTAACATCTCACAGCCCCGTTGTCTGTCCACTCACTCCAATGTTTCATCCATGCTAACCTGTACCATCTCATACCCTGTACCCACTCCATAACTCTTCATATCCTTCATGTCAATCCATGTCCCCATCCCTTTGTAAGTCCATGTCAATTGAGTAACAATTCATGCCAACCCATGCCCTCACCTAAAACTGTAATCTCACACCTAAAATTCACTATTACAGAATTAACTACATCGAAAAAACCCTCATGCACAAAAAGCCACCTGTATATTTACATTCCTTTAGATACATAATGCTCATAGTAACAAACATCCAATCAAGTACATAATCCATTTTCATACCAAGCATGAGAATTCATTGCTCCACTTCAAAGAGTCTATATCTACTTGGAGATGTCAATCAAACTCAGAAATGGCAAGGACCCTGCTGTGAAAATGCACTGTTATGAAATCAATCACACAGTACTAATCCAGTAATGGAAAATTTCAGGCATATAGTGACAGAATGAATGTTTTGGAAGAGTTTCATCGGGCATAAAGCTTCTTCCTGTTCAAATAAGTCCAGTGGGGTAGGATTTCTTCTGACTGAGAACTGCTGAGTGCAAAATAAATTGGTCAGGAGGAGTCAAATCTGGCTACCAGGCACACAATCAATGATTCTGTGACATAGTTTGGACTCCAAAGACCCATTTTAAGTAAGTATTGATTATCTTAGCTTCTTCATAAAGGAAGCCGAAGGGCAAGCAAAAAATTATCTCACTTGGGCATTCTCACATCACTCTGCACCACCCAAAATGAGACAAGCTTCTGGCAAGATTCCCAAGCACAAGGTCCTCCCCACTGATGTATGTCAAGGTCATGTAAATGCAGGAATCATCCCATGATTCTAGTTACATTGGCAAGGTCACAACTATAAGCACCAGATAGGTACTTCCCAGTATTTATGGTGCAGGCGACGAAGATTTTTGGCCCTCATGTGCTTTTGTATAAATTGAAGAGTTAGGAGAAAACCTGAATTGTAGCACTTTTTACCATCCCAAAGATAGAAATCGACCACTTGCTTCTAGTTACATTTGAAGGATGAAGAGAGTCTTACACAGCCCGGAGGCCATGTCACTGTAGGCAGCAAATGTGATAAATCAATGTTGTCCTGCCAGAGTCTAGATCAATTGTTTGGCTTCCCATTGGAAGATTGGATGGCTCAAATTGCACAAGTTGATCCAGAATGACAATCATCATGCAATTGTAACAAAGATTCTCAAGCTATTTCCAAACTTCATTTATTGCTTTGTTGTGAAGGACGCAGTTTTGCATTTCAATTCAACAGTGAATCCACTGTAGAAAGATCTATGAGACTTAAATTCTTCTTTAACTTTAACAAGGTTATTCAAAAGTTAAACCAATCTAAAGGCTCTAATAAACATTGCTTAGCAAAAAAATTTCATGATAAGATAATTTGTTTCACCAGTATTTTTGCAATCCTTAAGATAGTGGAGTATGTAACAAAATCCTTCCTGTTATTTATAAATTTCATTAGACTGTGACAAAGAAGAAGGTTACACTGATTAGATACTTGCAACTTATTATTTTATTCTTTTCCAATGTAATCAATTTAATTCATCTCCTGAGACTGTAATTTTTTTGCAAATTCAATTATATTTAACAGTTAGCCTGCTGATTAGGCAAAAACGGATTTAATTAATCAGAAAATTACAAAAAAGAACTAATCACCACGATACAGAGTGAAAATTATATCATCTGTTATACAGTAATGAAATGTTACGAACAAATATATTAGTCAAGATGCATCTGGAGTGTACAAACTGCTTGATTTGTTGTTTCAAAACATTAATACATTTAAAATAATCATATTAATGAGCATCTGAAAGCTGCAACTTCATATAAATGCGTATTGATGGCTTTATAGGACAGTTGCCCACCAGTGCTGGAAATGTCTCTTCAAGATGTCATTTCGCTTTTCATTCAAAGACTTCATTACAGAATGTTTAACCCTACAAGTGAACAAAGCAAAGTCTATTATGGAAAAGAGTTCTTGTGTTTTTTTGGATAAACTGTCCATTGTGCATCTCTCTCCATCACTGGAAAACATACTCAGAGCTAGTATGCAATGAGCGGCTGATTCAACATTGCCTATTTTATACCATCACCCAAATTTAAAATTACCCTCAGCTACCCAACAAGAGTGCCTGCTGGGAACAGAAAAATATGTTACATTTCCTGAAGCCTTGTGAATTGCTTTTGGAAAGGAGCCAATTTTGAGTTTTAATGCCCTCATTTTTTCTGCAATAGAAAAGAACTTTATATTGCACTGATTGAATAATGCAATCACTGAACATAAATATTATCCACCATGCAAGATATTTGGATAAGTACATGAATTGAAATTTTTGGAGAGTTATGAGCCAGGCAGGCGTGATTAGTTTAGTTTGGGATTATGGTTGGCATGGACTGGTTGGACCAAAGAGTCTGTTTCCATGCTGTATGACTCTATGACTCTATGTATCCATGTTTGATCACTGGTAATGTATAGGGCACCAGGAACAGCCACCACTAATGGAGCAGTCCAGGTTACTAAGGAAGTAATTTTTTTCACTGGTGCAAATTATTCAGTGAAGAGCTTGCAGTGTCATTGGAGTTGTACGTGTGTTACCAGAGTTATTTGTGGGTTCTAAGGCACTGTTGCTATCAGCGTGCACAACAGGTGAAACTGTGTGGGCCATTTTTCACCTTGAGGATGTCAAAACAGCCAGCATCTGAGAACAGGAAGGATGGGGCTCACTAACAGCCACCCCCGTCCTTTCTCTCCAGGCACACCAACAACTACGTTTCTTTGTTTGGCCTGGATCCTCTATAATCCTGGGATTCCACAGCTGTCCTTCCTGCAGCAGCTCCTTCCTCCTTGACAGCAGCGGAACCTCCAGTTGGTTGGCAGCTCTCATTGGTGGCACTGGCACTCCACCCCCACCCAACCCCCATGAACCCTGATACCCACGTCATCATTCCAGGGGAAGGCCTACTGGTGGCCTTGCAGCTGCCTGATTGAATTGTAGTTCTCTGGGTCTTCCTGAGGTAAAGCCAGTTTGGGTCTTTCATCAGACCCCCTACAAGTTTCCGCAACAAGTTTCCATCCATGACAATAATTGGTGCAGATGGGGAGCTCAGGAATTGGCAGAAAACAACGACTCAATATGTTTTATCCCCTTCTCACGCCTACTTTCATCCTACCCCTCTCTGACCTAAAGTTAGAAGAGCCCAGAGAGTTAGGAACTGGGAGGACTCACCAATAATAGATGTTGGTAATCCCATCTCAGCAATCATTGTGTCATGGTACAACTCAAAATGATCAACTAACATGCACTCTTTCTCCTCCCCTGGTCTCTCCTCTTCCCTGTTGAGGGATGACTTCCAAGTATTTACAAATTGTCAGACAAGGCACAACACCAACAAGGAATAGTGCTGAGATACGGGAACTATCCATCGATAAAGAAAATGCAAAAACATCCACAGACATCATATGGTCTAATATCACATGGTCAAATGTCATGTGCCCAGAATGTCATATCACCAAACCTTTGTAATGCCTCGCTCCAGGGTGGGCAGCCTGGTGGGGGATAATGTAGGTCCGTGTTTTCTGAACATTGAATAGTACCAGATGATTTACAAGCAAATGAAACTTGCAGCAAAGGCCTCAAAAAGGATGATTGGATCCACCCACTGTTTATATGTGCACTGGGCCTGACATTAGTTTCAGGCATGAACATAGCTTCAGGCCATTTCACCCTTTCCCAATATGGTGGGACGTACAGACACTTCTGGCTGGAGCCCTAAGCTTAACCAGATGGATGGAGCATGTCCTTTCTGCTCATCATACTGAAACCTTGGGAAAACATCTGACATCTGACAAGCACATAATCCCTGATATTGAGGGTTTTTTTCTCAAAGTCAAGCAAGTGCTGCTATGAAATTCTCTTTTTGGGTACACTTTCAGTCAGAATTTCTGAACCTTCCAATTGGGAGGTAAAGCATACACCACTTCAATATTTTGCATGCCATTGGATCATACCGTTTTAACGATGCTAAATAGCATTCTGAATTTCAGCATATTGTAATCTGCCACATATCACTTAACAACTCTTCTGAATTTCTATTAAACTATGGAATGTGAGGTGAGAAATAAATCTGACCCTGGCAATGTCTGCCTTGTGCACTCTCGAACAAAGAAGCATGAAATAGCAAGCTGGGTCCTGCAGTGACGTTATGAGAAAAGCGAGCATACTCATGTGTGATAGCCTTGTTCTGGTTGCATACCAGCTTGACGTTAAGTCAATGGAGACCCTTCCTGTTGATGAATTTCCCTGATCTCTTATTCAGCATCTCAATGGCCACAAGGCTGCAACAGGTCATGCCCTGCACCTGGGCCAGACTTGCATGGAAACAAATCTCATTGTCTCTGTGTGTAAGTCCTTGTCCTTCTGAAATTGTATGAACACAGGACATTAACAACCTGCACGAAATGCAGTTCCTCAAATGAGCTACAGTTAAAGATGTTTGAAGCCACAATGACTTTAATTAAGATGTGGTGCCTAGTACTGTGAGGTCTGAGGTCTTTCTCAATGTCAGAGCAAATCTCAATGACCATCTGCCCACAGTCTCCTGCTGACAAGGGATCATCCTCTTCAGTGGCACATTCCATCTTGAGGGCATGGTCTTTATTGTCTTTTTGCCCCTCCTTTCTCTACTATTCCCCTCTTTGTGCACAGGTTTCTGCATCGGCTCCTGAGAATGGAGATGCTCAGTGGTCCTCAACCTTACCTCGGAGTACCTGAATCCCAATCCACGTGTTTATTTGCAATGAGCTACATTCACAACACTTCGTGGGCCCAACTCCCAACATAGCTTACACCTTACTGTCTCCCAGAGAGTTAGGACCCCCTCAACTGACTAAGTGATCACAGTCCACTTGCTCCATTAACTACACTCATTAGATGACAATTATGTTACAATGAATGGGCATCATTCTTGGCCATACACACTTTATAAATCCCTTTTATTGAATGATGTGGCCATAACTGGCTCCCCAGTGCATCTTATCATTTGATCTGTTTCAGATCCACCATGGCTTTCCCGAAAAAATTGCAGATTGTTCCTTAATGAGTCAACAGCAAGCTGGGTCCCACCTTTCGCCCGCACCACTATAACTTTTGATTGTCCAAAGAGCATCCGAAAAGCAGGACAATGCTGCATGCCATTCACCTCAGTTCCTGACTCAGTTAGTCACTTAAATCTTGTCCCTGATATTTAATGGAAACCATCTCAGTTACATGGGTCCTGATCACCATTTCAGGATATAACGGAACAGTCAGGATGGTGTGCGACCAAAGGCCTATAAAAATGTTAAGCTTTCCTTTGTAATTTGTAGAGAGAGTCAAAATCAAAATGTTGATGAAGGTAACAGCACTACACAGAGGGGAGGCAGGAATTTTGTTTGTTTCTCTGTACGTCAAATACTAGTACCATGCGGCACAATTTATTGAGATGTCGGGATTCTTGCCTGCTTGCTGCTAATGCTCAGGAAGGCCCACCAAACCACCAGCCAATCAGTCAGTGGCAAGATCACCAGCACAGCTTCCCCTGGAATTATGAGCTTGGGTCAAAGGTCTTGCCTGCTGAGAGTTGCCAACAAATCAGCGGGGAGCAGTTCTTTGTGCTCAACAGCGCCATGGAGGAGATGGTGGCTGCTTCAGAAAAGGACACCAACCAGAGATTCAGGATTCTCAAGGAACCAATGCCACATGCAACAAATGGGAGGGTGGGTGGAGGGTGGTTTTCACGGGCTGGGGGCTGTGGGGACAGGGCAACAGTGGCATCAGCACCAAGGGCATTGGTGCATGTTTGGGGAATGTATAAGTTGATCAATGCCAGCAAGCAACAGGTCATTTCCTAATTCACTGCACAATGCTGGCTTAATACTGGTGTAATCAGCACCACTATGTCAAATATGTCCTAAACTTAAATAATTAGTGCACGCGGTGTTATTTTTAAGCTTTTAAATTCATACTATGGAAGATTATCTGGACTTACCACGTGCTTCATCTAGGGTGTGGAACAGGGGATACTATCCTCACTTGTTATCTTTGTAACCATCTAAGAAAAGATATAAGAGCACAGAGTCATTTCAACATACATGCAGGAAGATGAATGACCTGAAATAATGCATGTATCTTGCAACTAATGAATTCACCTCTTTCCTGTGAGAACCGAAACAACAGAAGTTCATAATCCAGCAAAGACAAACGAGTACTAATGTACACAAACTCTGTGTGACTTAAGGTGACTAAAATCTGATGCCGTCATTGAAGAAGCTGTGCTGAGCAGATGCTTATATAACAGGAGAACCATTTTGTTCGATCAGACAAATTAATTCTCTAAATGTTGCATTATTTGCTTATTTATTGCCATTAAAAGATCAGAAAGAATAAAGCACAGCAGAAATGCAGCAGTGAACAGCTGACACACACCAAGAGTGAAAAATAATGTTTAATTTCAAGCTCTTTGATCCAGTCCATATATGGAACCAGCCTTTTTATATGAATACACAATTACAATCTTTTTCTTTCAGATCTAATTTTGTGGGAAACTGAGAGTACATTTTAAATAGATGAATGTGCATCATTGGAGTCAATAAACTGATTCAAATCAATGGCAGGTTTTACAGAACAAGGAGTTCATTTTACAGGTCTTTTTTTTTGCTGAATCTCCAACGAAATCTAAATAGGCTAAAATAGATAAAATAAAATCTAAATAGATCTTGTTTTTTTTTAATCTATAAATTACTAAATCTTACCAAGTCTGTGCACCTGAAAGACCTACCCATGGATTTTGCTGACTTCCTGAAATGAAATCCAAACAGTTTTCTGAATTTCTCCTGTCCCCTTGGTGCCTGGAACGTAAACCATGATTGTTCAGCCAGTTCTTATTTCCTTAAACCACAGCACATAAGCTAGAGCTGCTATTAACTGCCCAACTATTGAATGTGAATGTTCTGCCAACCAAAACTTGACAAAGGTGTTATTCCTCTTCAAAGAACGACATCTGGGACATTGTGAAGCCAATCAATTAGGTCTCAGCAGCATTTTTAATTTTGCATTCAAAGGGCAATGTTGGAAGAGCAGAAACCTTCTGAAGATTTTCATGTTTGGTCAACTTTGTGCACAATGTGTAGGACGGCACTGAGATAACGTTTTTGGCTTCAAGGGAAAGGAGCAACATGCCACAGGACTGACATCTGGACCAGACCATGCTATCATGGCTCACTTGCTTCAGAATGCAAGGAATCACACATATAAGTTGGCCACCTGAGTGAAGTGCTGTGTAGTGCTATTGGATCTGCAGCATATCATAAATCACTACTTTCAAAAGTGTAACTGAGTAAACTGAACCTTTAAAATTTTCTAAGTGGTAAATGGTATTAAATGGTCACATGAAGGGATAAAACAAACACAATACTTAGACATAATGGCTACCTTAACTTTAAGAACAAATAGGGCTGTTGGACACAAAACCATTGAAAGAAAGCAGACTATTCAAATATTATGTTAGCATTTATCATTACCATGAAATAAAAACATCAGTTCTGCCAATGATACTCAACAACAGATTCCTCACATTCTCTTTTGTTGTAAAGGAAAAAATCTTTGATAACATAGATTAAACCACCAACTACTTCTCTTGCTTCCTCTCTCATCCTAACAATTGACAGGTACTCATTCACCATCAAAGTCTTTATCTTGAACAACAAATTAATATTGCATATAGAGGCCTGGAGGCTTCCTAGCGCAGCAAACATATACACCAGTACACACATCAGGTGTCTTGTGTAAGTTGGACTATCAGAGATCTCATCTGGAGTGACTGCATTAAAATCTCATACTAGTTACTCCACACCTAAAATATTGTGAACAGTTTTGATCGATTTATCTAAGGAAAAATATATCAGCGGCATTAGGTTAATCCTGGGTATGCGGAGACATTTTGTGAGGACAGGTTGTGTAAGGTGGGCTTGTGCTCATTGGAGTTTGGAAGAATGAAAGGCAACCTGATTGAAACATGTAAAATTCTTAGAGGGTTTGACAGGGTAGATGCAGGGAGGTTGTTTCTCTTGTTGGAGAGTCGAGACAGCATAATCTCGGAATAAGGGGCCACTCAGCCAGAAGTGATAAGAAGGAATTTCTTCTCTGGCCATTGTGAATCTATGAAATTCTTTATTGTAGATGGCTGTTAAGGTGGGGTTGTTAAATATATCCAAAGCTGAGAGATTAGCATTTCTGCTTCACAGCACCAGGGACCTGGGTTTGATTCCACCCTTAGGCAACTGTGTGGAGCTTGCACTTTTTCTCTGTGTCTGTATTGTTTTTGTCCAGGTACTCCAGTTTCCTCCCACAGTCCAAAGATGTGTGGGTTAAGTGGATTGGCCATGCTAAACTGCCCATGGTGTCCTGTGTTGTGCAGGCTAGGTGAGTTAGCTGTGGGAAATGCAGCGTTATAGGGTCGGAGGTTGGGTCTGGGTGGTATGGTCTTTGAAAGGGCAGCATGGACTCAATGGGCCAAATAGCCCACTTCCACACTCTAGGGATTCCACAGACAGATTTTTTAATCCATAAGGGATTCAGGTTATGGAGGAAAAGCAGGAAAGGGAAATTCAGGATTATCAGACCAGCCACGATCTCATCAAATGACACAGCAGATTCATTGGCAATTTGCTACTAGTGTTCCTATATCGTATGGTCTTACGGTCTCAAGGACAGTTATGAATTGGAAATAAATGCTGACCTTAACAACGATATCCATCTGCTATAATTACATAACAATTAGAACTTTGTGGAACAGTCTCTTTTTATCCATAGGTTTATCAACATTTTTCAAACCATTCCATGAGTGGCCAGAATATTATGGCTTTGAGTCATTCAACCTAGCAGGAGACCATTCAGCCCACAAGGTTGATACTGTTATTTTAAAAAAACTATGCAGTTGGTCTCACTCTCCTACTCTCCACCCAAAATTGCCTAATGGTTTTTCCTTTCAAGTATTTATCCAATTTTCTTTTGCAAATTACTACTGAATTGTGTTCCATCATTTTTATAGTACATGATGTAGAGATGCCAGTGTTGAACTGGGTTGGACAAAGTCAGAATCATATGGCACCAGGTTCACCTGATGAAGGAGCAGCACTCTGAAAGCTTGCAATTTTAAATAAACCTGTTGGATTATAACCTGGTGTCATCTGAATTTATAGTACATTTCACATCAGAATAGTTTACAGTGTAAAAAAGTTATTCTTGTTTTATTACCTCTTTTTTTATTAAACAATTTTAAATCTGCAGCCTTTGATGACCAAATGTCTTCCCAGAGAAAGTAGTTTCTCCCCTTTACCTTGTTGAAACTCCTCATCATTTTGAAATACGTTATCAAATCTCCATTTCACCTTCTCTGCATTAAGCAAAATAATCCCAGCATCTCTAGTTTCACAATATAACTTAGATCCCGCTCCCCCCAACAACCCCAGCACCTTTCTAGTAAATATCCTGTATACCATCTGCAAGCCATTGAGCTTCCTTCCTGAATTTTTGTAAACACCATTCTCTGGCTGAGGTCTAATCAATGTTTTACAAAGGTTTATCGGAACATATTTTGTTCTGCATTCTCTGTCTCCACTTATAACGCCAAGGACCCCATATGCTTTATTTAACAGCTATCTCAATCAACCTGTCACCTTAAAAAAATTGCTTATGTATAGTCCCAGGTTTCTGTGTTCCTACATTCCAGTCAGAATTGTATAATTTTGTTTCTATTGCCTTCTGTTAGTCTTGCTAACTAAATATATCACTTCGTACGTGCCTGCATTAAATTTAACTTGCCATGTGTTCAGTCATTTGACTAGTATCAGTCCTTCTGAAGTCTGCTACTATCCCCCTTAATGTTCCCTACATTTGCAAGTTTTGTGTCATCTGCAAACTCAATTCTAATTGAATATTTTTATGAGCGTTAGCATGACAGGAAATGGTGTTAAATATTAAAGAATGAAATGCTATGGTGTCATACACAGAAGAAGCTGAAGATATTCTAGATATCCCTTTGGCAAACGTATTCTGAACCTGGAAATATAAAGTGCATTTAGAAGAAACGTTTGCAAAAACAAATATAGAAGTTAAGGAAGATTTTAACAAATTAAAGATAAAATATATGCCAACCAACAAGAATTAATAAAATACCTTTCCAAACTTCCCCTTAATCATCCCCATCCCTATCTTCAATTCAATTCTTTCAGGAAAGGTCTCAATAGCTTGACTCTTAAATGTCAGTCAGTGAAATCCTACTGCCAGTTATTTTTTTAAAAAAGCGCCACACCTATTGTACCGTGCTGATGTATCTACAAGGTACCTGATCCAGCATAAGCTATTCAGATCTGAAAGGATATATCCACTGATATACTGTCTAAAATCAGGTGATAGAGTCATTGTCAAGCAAGGTACATGGATCAGGGAGGCTTACAGTATGATAGCAGTGTGCACCATCTACAAGATGAACTGCAGAAATTCATCAAAGCTCCTTATACAGCACCTTCCAAATGCATAAACACTACCATCTGCAAGGACACGGGTGGCAAACACATGGAAACACCTCCACCTGCAAGTCCCTCTCCAAGCCACACTCCATCCTGACATGGACATATATCACTGTTTCCTCAGTGTCACTGGATCAAAATACTGGAACACCCTCCCCAACAGCACTGAGGGCTTATGTACATCAAACAGACTGCAGCAGTTTGAAAGATACCTTACCACCAGCTTCTCAAGGGTACCTAGGGAAGAGCATTAAATGCTGGTCCAGCCAGTTGTGCCTACGTCCCATCCCATAATTTAAAATTTTTGATGCTCCCCCTGGGAGTGACAATTCAGCTTTTCCTTGCTATGGGATTGTAACCGCTCAACTCTTGGCTGTTTTGTCACATTTAAGTAATGGCATGGGCCATATGGAAACCAGTTAATTACTCAATCCTCTTGCCACTGTATCACCAACTGCCTAGTAAGACCAGAGGATTAGTCATGTAAAAGTTCCTGACAAAATCAGGGAAAAAAGCAGATGTCTATATCTCTAGCAGTAGAGATGCCCAACTCCTCTCACAACCACTCAAGCTCCGACCCTTAATGTGACTTCCTGAAAAAGATTTCACAAAATTGTGAGTACATACCTCAGGGGCTATGGTTCCCTATAAAATTCTCTCCACCTACATTATGGAGCTGCAGCAAGTTCTCCACTGCAGGACACGGCTTCTTCCCAGATAGCAGCTGTAGATTCTGTACAGGGAGTACCACCAGGAGAAAAATCAATGTAATGCCATTTGATCCAGGAAAGTGGGTCAGGCAGTAGGTGGCAGAAGTTTTTTTTAATTCATTCATGGGATGTGGGCATTGTTGGCTGGGTCAGTATTTATTAGAGAAAGTAAGAACTGCCGATGCTGGAGTTTGCTGAAGAAGGGTCCTGACCCGAAACGTCAGCTTTCCTGCTCCTCTGATGCTGCCTGGCCTGCTGTGTTCCTCCAGCCCCACCCAGTGTTTATTAGTTGTCCTTGAGAAGGTGATGGTGAGCTGTCTTCTTGACTCACTATAGTTTATTTGCTGTAGGTAGACCCGCAGTGCCATTAGTGAGAAAAGTCCCACCACACTGTGGGCAGGACAGTGGCTCAATGGTTAGCACTGCTGCCACACAACGCCAGGAACCCAGGTTTGATTCCAGCCTTGGCGGCTGTCTGTATGGAATTTGCACATTCTTCCTGTCTCTATGCCTCCGGGTGCTGCAGTTTCCTCCCACAGTCCAAAGAAATGCAGGTTGGGTTAAAGTGGATTGGTCGTACTGAATTGCCCCATAGTGTCCAGGGATGTGCAGGCTATGTTGATTAGTCATGGAGATAGTGGGGGAAGGGAATGGTTCTGAGTAGGATATTCTTTGGAGGGTCGGTGCAGACCTGATGGGCAAAATGGCCTCTTTCTGTTCAGTAGTGATTCAATGATTAACATTCAATAATTAACCCACGTCCAAAGAATGTCTATCACATAATCTTGTGTTAGATTTCAGTACCTTCCTTTTATTTTAAAATATCATTGCAGCTCTTCTCCTACCTATCTCTGTAACTCCTTCAACCATCCAGCCCTCCACGTTATCTACATTCTCCAACTGTGACCTCTTGTAGTTTCCCACTTTTAATCACTCTATCACTAGCAGTCATACTTTCAACTGCAGAGGCTCTGTATTCTGGAATTCCCTCTTTACAACCCCCTCCTTAGTAAAATGCCCCAAGACATTCACAGGAGAGTAATCCATCAATATTTGGCATAAAAACCCCATAAGATGACAATATGGAATTCAGAACACAAAAAATCTTATTGAATAACAGAGCACGCTCAGGGGGTCAAATGATCTACTTCTGCCCTTATATTGTATGTTCAGATATCAAACTTCATTTGATACTGTTCTTCTGAAGACCCTGGGGCTTTTTACTAAAGACCTTATATAAACACAAATTGTTATGATGGTGAAAATACAAATTAGAGTCTCAAATATCCAAATTACTAAGGGTTGGAGTACGCACCACACCCTGGGCCTCAAACAGCATGAATATTTGGTTTGGCTGCATTCAGAATAACCAAAATTTATTTTGACCTAATCAATCAATGTGAAAAGGGACTGCCAGAAGTCAACACCAAACATTTCAATTTTAAAGCCCGAAAAAACAAAATGCAATACTTATCTGTAAGTATAATTTTGAGGACAGGTGTATAGAGGTTGTTGACTTGCTCGCCGAGCTGGCTTGTTCTCGTTCAGATGTTTGTCACCATGCTAGGTGACATCATCAGTAGAGTCTCCGATGAAGCGATGTTATTCTACTCCACTTGGAATTTATACTGGAATTTATTCTGCTCACCATAACGGACCAGACAGTGTAAATTCCAAGCGGAGTAGAATAACGTCGCTTCATCGGAAACTCCACTGATGATGTCACCTAGCATGGTGACAAAACATCTGAACGAGAACAAGCCAACCATGTCACCCACAACCTGAGCTACAGATCTTTGCCAAAACTTTGAACAGCTGTGTAGAGTCAAAATCTACAGAGCCTTCCCGAAGATTTACCATTCCTTGACAACTAAATTCAAGACATTTTCCAAGCAATAGCCTTTTATTAATCCAATTAATGATACATTCTATGCAAGTGACATTTCCACAGCGTTTGGTATGATGATGACAAGAGACAGAAAAATCAGAGAGAGTTTAAATCTAATGTTGTAACATAGTGAATGAAATATTTGTTCATGTCGTGCTGTTTTCCAGTGGTGGTGCACACAGAATTAGGGATGATTTTTTCCTTTTCTGAGTCAGTGTGCAGAATCTGGAAAATTCAGAGTGCCACTTGGATGACCTACAAGTTTAGTTTTTTTTCCTCCTTTGGACTAACTGGAGTTTTGCCCATTGTCCCCAGAGCAGTGCAGGGGAGACCACAGGGAGTGCCAGGTGTGGAGTGAGGCTGTTTAAAAAACACATCTGGCGCTGTTGTACATTATTCCAATCACGATAAAAACAGCAAGACTTCCTAACACTTAACCTTCAAATTCCCATCTATGCCCCATCCATGTCAGCTCATGCCTCCATCCACGTTCCTGATCACTCAACGCCATTCCAACCTATGGTCATCTACGAACTCCATGATCTTTCATTTGCCCAATGCCAATCAATGCCCTCCCAAACTTAACTATGGCTCACTATCCCTATGCCAACTCATGGCAACCTATGAAAATCGTCCCAACGCACTGACTTCCACTCTCCATGTCAACATTCACCATGGGCAGAACCCAGGCTGAGAAGAAATAAATTGCCTATTATAAACTTTACTATTAAAAAGCACACTCTCACTAATCAAATTCTATTCAATATATTAAACTATCAAGTGTGTAATCCCTTATAAAAATAAGCATTGTTATTCATAGCCACACATCAAAAAACAGCTAATCTCTATATAACCACTTATCATTGTCAATCAAACTATGAATTACCAAGTTTCCCCAGACCCTCACTGTAAGTATGATAGTTTCCAGAATATGTCAAGCAGCATTAATGCTATAAAGATAGCCCTCAGGTTTATATCAACAAACATAGGAGCAGGAGAAGGCTATTCAGCCTTTTGGAGCTGCTGTGACATTCATTAATATCATGGCTGATCTGGTTATGGTTTCAGCTCTATTTTCTTATCTGATTCACACAACGCTTAATCCTTTGACAAAAAAAAATCTATTTATCTCAGAATTGATTATATTCACTGATCCAGTTTCCAATATTTTTCTGGAGAAGATAATTTGTAGTACTAAAACCCTCAGAGAAAAATAAACCTACTTATCTTGGTCTTAGAAGAGACAGACCTCTTATTCTTAAACGCTGTCTGCTACTTCTAGTTCCTTATACAAGAGGAAACATCCACCTGCACTATCAAATCCCCTCTTGGTCATACATGCTTAAATAAGTACATGTCTTGAAAATAGTGTAAGCATTAATTTCTTTCAACCACAGGCAATTTTTTTTTCAAAGTTTAAAGAGCAGGCAATTAAAATTGACTCGGCAGCTTGACAGTTCCACTGGCCTCATTCAATTTTAAGCACATTCATACCTATTCTTAAGCATTCAAAGATGTCCAAAGATGTGCAGGTTAGGTAGATTGGCCATGCTAAATTACCCATAGTGTCCAGGGATGTATAGGTTAGGTGGATTAGCCATGGGAAATGCAGGATTACAGGAATAAGGTAGGGCGATGGGTCTGGGTAGAATGCTCTTTGGAGGTTCGGTATGGACTCAATGGGCTAAATGGCCTGCTTCCACACTGTAGGGATTCTATGATTCTACAGTCCCAAAAGGATATCTCACCTCTCCAAAGAACTGCAGCAGGCTGAGTCCTCTTCCTCAAATTTGTAAATCCCACAAAAATCACTGATGAAAATGCTACTCAATGAAAGGAGTTGCATCACCAAAGGCGTCTCCGTGAACATGGACATCCCAGGGCAGACTGCACTGTAAGCTCCTACCTGTGAGGTCTATGCAGATTTCTTCATTGAAATATAACTGGCAGGATGTACAGGTAAAGACCCTGCAGTGATGTCTGTCTGTCCTCAGGAAACTAACACAATCTGAATAAAAAATACTAACTAATTTCTTCAGCCAGAAATGGCCATTATAAAATGGGTAAATTGGTACTTACAGAATTAAAAGTCCCTGTTGTCATGGCAAGAACCGGTTCAGTACTCTTCATAATGTCGATGATCACAAGCTATACTAAATATTCAATTGTTTAACATTGGGACAACAGATTAGAACCTGCTGCTTTTCACATTCCAATTCCTTGACTTGTTCAAGGCTTGAGCAACAATTTGAAGTGTATCACAACCAGATCCTGGGTTGAAGTTTAATTTTACATTACTAAACTACTCTTCCTTCGGGTGACACCCAACATGAACTCATTAATAATTAACAAGCCTGCCAAGTTATATTATTTTATCCCCATGAAGTTCTGGCAACTTACACATTAGTACTGTGCTACTTGAGTTTCGATTCTCTAGCTTCGCTTCTTGTGACATTGCAGAATTCGTCCGACTCAACCGTTTAAATGATTTCTTAAATAAAAATCAACTGTACTGTCTCCGTGCACATTCCACCGCAACAATTAGCGATTGCATACTTTTGTGAATTACAGCTCATTAAGCTCCTTTTTATTGCTAACCTTTTCTAACTCTGAGACTTCATCAATATGCTGTTGTTTCTCTGCCAGCTCCTGACATGTTTCTGATTCATGTGACACCGGAACTTTCTGAGCAGATTGTAAGCTCCTTTGTTCTGAAGTCACACCTGTCATGTTGCCATCGTGGATTGGACGAGAGCCTTCTTTCTTTGAATCCTCCTGTTCGCTATGAAGTTCATCTGTTCCTGAAGGTAGTGTATTTGAATTTCCAAGTATTGTAGTATTATGATCAATATTATTGGACAGGCTATCCTCTTTAGTTTTATTGTATTCTTGCACATTTTCAACTAGGCCATCCTCATCTCCCGTCCATCCATTAGGGTCATTCCACTGCTCTCTTCTATTCTCATAATCATCCACTTCATAACAGATATCTTCTTTGTGGTTGGTTGTAAATGCCGTATCATCGTAAGATGGTATTTCTTCCTCATGCACAATTTCAGCAGGTATCTGTAAAACACAACACAGTTGTTTTCACTAAGCTAGAATGTGCAGTTCATCCATTGTCATAGTCATGAATGGAGATCCTTATGATATTCTAGCTAATTCATGGTTGCACAAGTTTCAGGCTGGATAACAAGTGAGACTAGCAGGCAGCAAACTAACATAAAACAAGAATAAATTTAGAATCCAATAGCCAGTCTTACTTTTCTTCACTCTACTCTGCAACCTTACTGTCAATTACAATCCCTTTTTTCCCCGTTATTAGTGCTAAAGTCACTGTTCCAAGAAACGTTTTCTTTTTTCCACCTTAAGGCCTAATTATGTCATCTTCTTCCTCGCTGCATCCTCACTGTATCCTTACGACCCTTCACCACCAGAGAGGAACAGTGCTCACGAGAAGCAACTGTCAGGGTTTGGAATTATAGAACATCTCTGTGATCTCAATTTGCTGCTGCGAGTGCAGAAGTATAAAATTACCTCTGTTGTATTGAAATCCATGAACTTTACACTGTGTCATACTCAAGCCCATTCAGTAATCAGACCTTCAAATCAATTGTCAGAACCTTTCTATGGGAACAGAACCTGACATGTACATATTGGAGCCACAGGCCAAACAGAAACAAATCAAAGACCTGGTAAGGGAGGTTGATCCCAACCTTGCAACTCCTGCCAGATATGACACTTGCCCATGCACAAGGAATTCCCAGAATGACACAGTAAACTGGTATGCCCTGCCCTTGTCAATATTGCCGCGAACAGGCTGAATGTCTGAAGGTATGGACTGTATTGCTTTTTTTATGACTGCAGTCCCAAGAAATGTCATGGTCAACAGGGACTGGAGAACCCTCAAATCTCTACTGGCCTCATTTCAAAGGCATTTTAGGAGCAGCTTTACACCTGCCAATCTGCCAGTTCTACCACCCACCATTAGACTTCTACGAACCACCAAGGAAACCCAGGTGAACTGACGCTAGATACACATAACACATTATTGATGTGTAAGTGATCTCTAAATACACAGGCCCCACGATGATCAGTCCAGAAAAATGCCCATCTAGAATATCCAGAACAATGGGCCCAGTCAGTTCAACAGGCATTACCATCCAGTATGCATTTGCTTAGCACCCAGAGCGCAGGTGAGGTAATCAAAAGTTATGTGGAACTTAGAAAACAAACAGAATAACCGTGATCTTATTGAATGGTGGAGCAGTTTTCTTTCTTTATTTGTGCCTGGAATGTATGTGTCATTGGCTAGGTCAGTATTTATCTCACATCCCTAAATGTTCAGAGGGCAGTAAGCATCAGCTGCAGTGCAGTACCTTTGGAGTCATACGCAGGTGAGACCAGGTAAGGATGACTGATTTCATTCTGTGATATAGCCATTTGTGATTACTGAACCTGACGGGTTCCTATGACAATTGACAGGGGTTACATCTTCACCATCAGATTAGGTTTTTAGTCCAGATTTTTATTGGATTCAAATTTCACCAACTGCCAAGGTAGGATTTAAATTGTTGTCCCAGGTCATTAAACTGGGATTCTGGATTACTGGGTCAGTGGCATTACCACTAAGCTACCTCCAATTCTAATTGTCCAGAGATTTATGTGAAAATTTATACATTGTTTGAAATATCTTTTGTGAAATCAAACATTGCAAAAAATCTTTTAGATCAACGAAATATGACATTATTAAACAATTGTACTGAAGATGATATTTTCACGTTATTCCTTAAATTAAATTGGAAAAATACTGAGAATTTTTTAAAAATGCTTCATAAGATATAGTAACTCTTGAGAGACATAACTTCCAACAGCTACCCTATCAATTTCCTGCACATAAAAATTCAATTAAATTCGCACATGAATTGAATGTGAATTAATTATTAGATCGTGGTATATGTTTCACATTCATCACAGTCATTGCTGCGTAGGATGATAGAGTGCAAAAAGCCATTTATATTCGCAGTTACCAGACTACTTTATCAAAGGAACAGGGCAGATAAATTATTTTGAATGTGCACCAAACTGAAGGGCATTTTGTCCTGGTCCAAAATAAATAAATAAGAACACAAGAATATAAGAAATAAGAGCTAAAATAGACCAGATGCATGCTCAAGCCTGCTCCATCATCCAATCTGAAATTGGCTGATCTTGGGCCTCGAGTTCATTTTCCTGCCCAGTCCTCATATTCCTTGAATTCCACAGTGACCAAAAATCTGTCCAACTCAGTCTCATATGTATTAAATGATGGGGCATCTGCAACAATCTGGATAGAGAATTGCAAGCATTCACAATGTTTTTAGTGAAGATGTTTCTCGTTATCTCAGTCCTAAATAATAAGCCCTTTATGCTGAAACTGCGCCCTCTGATCTAGTTTCCCAAATCAGGGAAAGTAACCTCTCAGTATCTGTCCTGATAAGCCCCTTCAGAATCTTGTATGGTTCAACAAGATCACCTCTCATTCTTCTAAGTTCCAGAGAGTATGGGCTGAATTCATTCAGCATCTCACCATTGGACAAACTTCTCATTCCATGACTCATCTAATGAACCTTTGTTATAGTACACTGACTTTTCATTATTCTTACCTTATTCTTTTATCAATTCTGAGTTATAAGCTGGAAATGAGTGATGGATTTTGGAACAGATTGAATTAATAAGAAAAGAACAGACCAAACAAGCTTTGTTTGTTTGTGAGGCCAGGTCTGGAGGCTAAATGCAGGCTGAGCTTTGATTAAAAGGTTTGGACAGATACTGCAACCCCAGGAAGAGCATTGTGTTTAAACAGAAAGCAGAAGTTAGCTATTTGATTTGATTTTGGCAAGTCAGTAGGAGACCCTATGCACGTGTTGAATGGTAACTGAGGCATTGGTGACTGATTCAGTCAGTCCATCAGGGTGGAACTCGAATTGAAGTGTTTTTTTGAACTATGTTTTCTGAAGATGGTTCTGAAATGCTGCTGAGGCAGCATGAAGATTTGAAAGCTCCCTACTTAATCTGATTTGCCAGCTTTCAAAAGCCCAAAGAGAAGAAAGTTGAGTTCGGAGTATTGCTGCCTTTGCCTGAGCCAACTGAGAAGGTGACCCTGATCAGCATTTCAGAAAGAAAACCGCCAAGGAGTCCAAATTTGTGCCTATGAAACAATGCATCATGAAAGCCATTTTAGTAACCCAGCCAGTTTTGTTATTTTCTTGTATTTGTCCTTTAACTCCATTTGTTTGTTTGTCTTTTGTGCGAATGGGGCTGAAAACAAATGTTTCCAGTTTAAAGCTAAGTCAATAAACTTCCCACACTGTTTAATTTTCTCTTTGCTAATGTTAGTTCGTATTTATTTATTAAATTGTTAAGTTTTTTGTTTAAGATACAAAACCGATGCCTAGAAATTAATTATTCACAATGTCTGTGACTGATTATTCCAAAGTCTTGTTAGGAACCATTGCAGTGACTATTTGGGGTCTTCGATGGTTTAATTTTGACTGTGTTGTGAATACAGAAGTAGAAAGACTGCTTTGGTTCAGCTGTCTGTCTCCATGTCATAACAACATCCAATGCAAATACATCTTTCTTTAGATAGTTATGGATCAGATGAGAAATGGACTGCTTGAAAATCAGAATTTCAGACACTTCTGTTGCCTAGAAACTATGGAAGTATATCAGTTGTATTTCCACATTTCATGCAATGGACAACACATAACAATATTTGCACACCAGGAGCCTAATCAGGAAATAGGTGAATTTGAATATTATCCTATCAACTTCAGATGTTTTACAATGATGTACACTATTGATATAGTAAGTGTGCCTATCTTGATGCACATTGGCAGATGAGTTAGAGAAGATACACTTTACTGTACATTAAGTCCCAAATTTACATCAAACAACATTAATGAAGTTGGAGCAAGTTAGCACCTTGAACTCACACCAGATATTTGGGGAAACTTTAAAGAACAGCTAGATCGCATTTAGAAAGAAATGGAAGACAGCTCACATGACATAATAGATCATCTACTGTAATATTGTCAATGAAATATTATACTAGAAACAAACACAGAACTGTTATTAGCACATGCTATGAAATGCAACAAAAAATGAATGTTATGGTCTGTTAAAGGATAAGATAATAGCTAACTGATCAAAATAAAATCAAAGATAACAAGGTGTAGAGCTGGATGAACACAGCAGGCCAAGCAGCATCAGAGAAGCAGGAAGG